AATTGCTTATGTTTTCAAGATCTACACGTCGTGTAAAGTAAAACCCCAACTTTGCGGACACCCTGTATATACAGGGTGACTTTGAAGTTGAGTCATTAATTTTCAGATAATGATTGTAGAAGGAAGATAAACCAGAATATGTGTGTAAAAATAAAAAAAAATTAAAAAAAAAATTTTACCTTGTTTTATAAAGTATCCTCCCGACAAGTATTTCAGTGCGGACCTGTATTTGATCGTGAGGTCCCCTGTGAGGTCTTAAGTCACCTGATTCACGAGCCCGTTGTACTACATTAACAAAGGCACGAGGGGTTGGTTGCACTCGATTGGGAAACCGATCCGCATAAACATGTGCCATTTTTTATTTCGTTTGAGCCACGCAACAGACACTATTCACACGCTAACCGACAGACACTGAGTGTATGTATAACTGAACTGAATAAAATACTTAATTGCAAAAACGTTCCAAATTCTTTCGCTTTTTTGTTTCCGATGCGATGAACTGGTAAGGCGGATTATATCCGTTGTTGCCAAACACGAGTACATGATATTATTATTGAGACAGGGCGGTACTCAAACTTCCAAAGGGCTATAACTTTGTTACTTTAATTTTACCAGAAAAATGGTAAAGGAAAAAAACATTTCTTTTGATCAGATCTACTCACTGTTAAAATAAATGACTCAACTTCGAAGTCACCCTGTATATGAGCAGTAGTTATTGCCAAAGCCAACGACCAGTTGGGCAAAAAATACAATTAATTGTTAATTGGGAAATTTTGTTATTCGTCATTGGCAAAATATTCGGAGGAGAGCTGAACAAGATTCTGTTAACCAAATACTTAGGATAGCCATTGTTGATAAATAAGACTGAAAGCTTCCTTAAATTGGAAAGATGGAAAGTACTGTGAAAATGACAACACTGTTCAGTCCAACCAGATACCCATGAATTCTTCAACCAATGAGAATAACAGCACTACAGTGGTTGCTCCTATTTCTAAAGTTAATTGTGTTGTCTTGCCATACATCAAAGAACTAACACCAAAATTGATCAAGCTGTATAATTCCTTTAATTGTCGCTTTGCTTATAAATCAGTGAACAGTTTGTTGTACAAAATGAAGGATAAGGTTCAGTTGCTTGATTCAACCAACACTGTCTATCGCATTAATTGCAACAACTGTAATTTAGTTTATATAGGCCAAACTTCTAGGTCGAAGAAAGGCAGGATAACTTCACACAAAAGTGACGCCAGATTATATCCAGAGAGTTGTGCTTTGGCATCTCATATTAACAACACAGGTCACTATGAATTATGGCAGTATTGAGGTTCTTGATAAAGAAAAAAGACTCTCAAAACGTTTATTTTTAGAAATGTCCCACATGTTCATGATGTTAAGCAGCTCAGTGTCATTTATTCCTACCTGTTGAATTGCGAAAAGCTAGAACGGCTACATATCCAAATTGAACCAACATCTTCACAAAATTAGAATACATTTTCTCACTCACAATTCTTAATATAAACTCACATAACCCATCTTTTCAAGGTTGTTTCAATATCACATATTCGTACACTCATATGAACTACACACATTTTTCCAAAACAAATTAATTTAGCATTTTAGTAATTTTGGGTGGAGGTTTACTGAGCGTGTCCCTCGTATACTTCATACCCAAATTTGGACAAGGAGGTTTACAGTTCCACGGTCCGTCGCGTAAATCACTTGTCATCTGTCGACGCTTTATCTTTCCTCGCCGTCCCCCTCTCCACGTGTAGCGGAAGTAGGAGGTTAGAGAATGCATTCCGATTGTTTCACTAAAATGTCTTCTCACGTGTAATAATTTTTAATTTGTTCGGGTGGATTGATATTTTATACTCATAACCTGGCATTTTTATTTTTTAAATTTATTATAGTTTCAGCAACTTCGTTTTCATCAGAATTTGTTAAGTAGAATGAATTTGGTGTGTATTTTTCTGTAGAGACTCTCTATACGTTGAATTTTTTTTGAATGTTATTCCCCTATATTAGAAAAATATTTTACAAATCTGTTTGCGATTTCTTGTTTTGAGCTAAATATACCTATTTTTGGATATAATCTTTTTTGTTTTTTTTTTATTTTTTCAGTTAGTTTATTTCTAGTTTTTTTTAAATTATTTATGTTTTCCATTGTAGGGTTATTAATCATTGTTTTATAAAGTTTGTCTTTCTATTAGGTTAATTTGCCATTCAAGACTTTTTTAGACAGGGTGGTTCACAAGTCGTGACCAAAAATGAAACATCATACTCATGACCGCATTTTAAGGATCCTCTTTGTAACATTTTTCGCTAGACGGCTTCATTAATAGTTGAAGTTTAAAAATAAAAAAACGATTTTTTTTAATATTTTCAAAACCGTCAACTGGAATGAACTAAGATTTGGTATGTGGATTTACCTAAGTATTGTCCGCATTCAAAAGTCTTTAGTTAAAATTAACGTGCACCAGTGGAGGAGATACAGGGAATTGACATTTTTCCAAATAAAAATAGTTCGCTACTGTTTTTTTTTTTCGAAACGCGCAATTTTTCTAATTTTAAAGCGCCCCACAAAAATAAATCCAGGTAGGTTCAAATCAGGAGACCTCGCAGGCCATGCGGTTGTCATGACCAACATGGGGTGGGGCACCGTCGTGCTGAAACCACATTCGTACGGAACATCATCTAACACATTTTCTATGCAATTCTCTAGAAAAGCTAAGTATGAGTTTGCATTTAAACGTTGTGGCAATACGTGCATAAACAGTTGGTCATTGAAATTTTTTAGAAAAACTGGGTTAAAACGAGTGGATTCTTACTGAACGGGGATTTTCTAACGAAAAAATATGTTCATTATGAGAATTAAAGGTTCCACTCCTCGTAAAAAGCGATTCATCTGACCACACAATCAATAAAATCTGCTTTTTGATTATGCATTTGCATAATACATGATAACTGGGCTGCAATCCGCTTAGTACTTGTACTAGGTCATCCAACGCTTAATTAATCACTTCCAGTTTCTCTTGAACAGTATGCCGGACACCATGGCCTTTAACTCCGGGAAGTTTGGCAATTTTATATTGCCGAAGTCTTAGAAATAAACGCGTAAAAACCTTAAGGGTAGTTTGGCGTCTGTTAGGAAATCTACATTGATACTCCCGAGAAGCCGCTAAAGCATTTCCATTACAACCCGTACACAAAAATCATATCGGCGTACCCACCAATGCGAAATTCCATTTCACAACACTCAAAAAAGGAACTTTGGACATTACTTTCAAAAAAATGGTAGTAGCAACGATAACAACCGTATAATACATAACATTAACAAACTATCTCCCAAGAAACGTCAAGATGATATCAAAGCCTCCTATTTTATTTTGAAACTAATTGTGTCTCGGCTCTTCATGAATGATCTGATTTGTTTTAATATTATTTTTACGAAAACAGTGCACTCTAGGAAAAAACATGTATAGCAAATTGAAGGTAAAATTCGAAAAATTGCGCGTTTCGAAAAAAAACAGGGGCGTACTATTTTTATTTGGAAAAATAATGCCATTGATCCCCTGTATCTCCGCCACTGGTGCGCGTTAATTTTAATTAAAGACTTCTGAATGTGGACAATATTTAGGTAAATACACATACCAAATTTTAGTTCATTCCAGTTGACGGTTTTGAAGATATTGAAAAAATGTTTATTTTTAAATTTCGACCTCGAGGAAAAAATGTTACATAGAAGACCCCCCTTAGAATGCCGTCCTGTGTATGATGTTTCATTTTTGGTCACGACTTGTGATTTTTGTGTTTTGTTGAACCTATATTTTTTAATTTTTTCTTTATTCCATTTTGTTTTCGTCTTTCTTTTTCTTTTGCTTGTTTACTTTATACTGTTGTTTTTGTTTAATATTCTCTTGTTTTCATTCATTTTTTCAAACATACTTTAATTTAAATCTCACAATGTTACGCCTATTTTTCGACAATGTTTGAATAAAAGTTCGTAAGCTGACTGGTCCTCAGAACTGAGAAATGAGTCTAAATTTAGAGGCAAAGGAAGGTATTTCGCTAAAATTTTACACAAATTGGTATTTTATCTATTAGAACTTGTACATTCTAATATGAGATGCTATAAGGTCCCCATATTTCCGCAACTGCAATGTGGATCATTTCCGTATACAATTCTTGATTTATGGTGGGGTGTCAGGACATGACCACTTCTTACTCTACTCACGGTTCTAATGTAAGGACGATTGGTACTTCCTTGAAACCAAGGTCTGCTTCTAAGAATTTCTTGTATTCGTTTCAGGTTACCTCCTGTTGAACTGCTTTTGTAGTGGTTATTCCATTTATTCTTTAGTCGTTTCCTGGTTAGAAAATGTACCTCAGTTAAAGGAATTTTCATGCCTGGAACGTAATCGCCTCTAGTTGTTGCTCTTTTTGCAAAATTATCTAACACCTCGTTTTCTTTTATATCTGAGTGGCCTTTGATGTTTATAGTTTTGTCGATTCTATTCAGCTCCTGAATGCGGTTGAAGATATCCGCTGCTAGATGATTAAGATCTGCAGTGGGGTGATATTTACCCAATTTTGTTACAGCACTTCGACAGTCGGTAAAAATTACAAAATTCTTATTTCCCTGGAATTCAAGAAGGTATTCAATAGCTTGATTGGTCGCGACTAGTTCTGCTGTGTATACAGAACATTCAGGTGGCATCTTTAATTCTTCGTGATAAGAATTGTTGCTGTGATAAAATGAACATCCCGTTAAATTTTCATTCTTCGAATCATCCGTGAAGATTTATGGATTGATTTGACTAGAGTGTACCTTCTTGTTGGTAGGAAGTATAAAATGAATCTGTAGCGTACAAATTAAAACAAATTACGCTTCTGTCTACCCAGCGTCGTTAATGGATCAGTCAAAATTACTTGTCAATTGTAATATATGTATACTCGTGGAAAAGACAAATAATTCGCCTAAATCGTTATTATTGTGTTGGCAGTGAAACTGGCGAAAAGAAACGTCCCGTTATCATCCATCGAGCAGTGTATGGCTCCGTTGAGAGAATGATCGCAATATTAACGGAATCATTCGCTGGAAAATGGCCATTCTGGTTATCTCCGAGACAAGTGATGATTGTCCCAGTGGGGCCAATGTTTGATGACTATGCAGAGCAGGTTAAGCAGAAATTATATGATGCCGGTTTTATGGTGGAGGTTGATACTGACCCTGGAGATACTATGAATAAGAAGATTAGGAATGCACAGTTAGCCCAGTTCAACTTCATTTTAGGTAAATATAAGAATTTTTCTGTGGCGGATAAAAATATTAGATTTAACAAATGTCAGTGCCGAGACAGTCTGGTAACATTTAAAATCCGTATGCAAAAACCTAACACTAAATTTTCGCTGTAATTTGGCGATAATTCCACACCTCTTATGACATTTTTTTATACATGAGGGAAATATTCGTACAAAATATCCCGTAGCTTCAGAAGTAGTAGTACAAACCCAATTATAGGAAGATTATTGAAGAGGCATTTTGAAAATACACTAAAACACAGGAAATTCCATTTAAAAACGTATTAATCACTCTGTGGAGAACGGTATATTTTCCAAGTAATATAATAATCTTTATTTCTTTATTTAATACCTTCAAGCTAAACGATACGAGTAAGAAGCATATAGTTGACTACAGTTTTTATAACTGACTTATTGAGGTATTTAAAGAAGCATGTAGAAGCATCTTAGCTGGGAAGTCGCACTCAGATGTGTCAGGTTAGATTGCGTTGGTTGTCACTTTTCATATTTATTTTTATTATTGGTTCTTTCTTTGTTTCATACAAACTACCCTAGATCGTATCGGAATAAAAAAATTTTTACGATTGCAAAAAACTCGATGTACTAGGGGAATTTACTTGCGATTTTCTCCGTCGAAATGGCATCCGTTTTTGACACTTACATGAGAGTTTCATAGCTGATTGATATCTAAGCTCTGCATTTATTTCGTCATTTTACATAAATAACTACATTTACCATTCTGTCAATTGTATACAGGGTATTAATAAAGTATGTAGACAAACTTTAACCATCGAATCCATGGTCAATTTGAAAACTAAATGTTCATATGAACATGGGTCCGTAACAGGTTTATTTTCGAGCTAGAGCACTAACACTAAAGAAGTACGAGTAATGTTCCAAATATTTCTATGAATAATGAAACGTATGTATTGAACAGAACCTATGATAAATTTGACATGTTTTACAAGTTGCTGAGGCTCAATATGACCGTGGATGAAAATAGTATTATCCTGTATTTTTAAAAAAAAATTATTTAGAAGGTCAATAGTCAAAACAAATCAATATCATGCTATTTTTTCAAAAAATACTGGATGACATTATCCGTATCTACGTACATGGAGGGTCTGAAAACAACTGTAAATTATGTGATATTCACCACAGTGCATACTTAATTAAAATAAAATACTTTACATTATTTTATAATTTTTTAGAACACTATCATTTCTTTCAGTACTAATATGCTCTAGCTTGAAAAGAAAGCCGTTGCGGACCCATGTTCATATTGAAATTTCGGATTAAATTGACCAAGGATTCGATGGTTAAAGTTTGTCTACATACTTTATTAACACCCTGTATAATCCCTTTTAATGTACGATTCTAGTGGTCTAAGCGACCATTATATTGAATTTTGTGACCAAGAACCTTTATACGACAGCGTTCCTGTCAGATTAGCCTACCGAAAATACAGTAATGCAGAATTTTTCGTTTGAGGCTCTAACGCGTAATTGTTTTTCTTTGCAGTGGTTGGAGAGAAGGAGAAGAACGGCAACACAGTCAACGTTAGAACACGAGATAACATAGTACATGGAGAATGTTCAGTAGACTCTCTCGTTGAAAAACTAAACAGCTTCAAAGAAAACTACACTAAAAGTGAAAATGAGTTCTAAAAATCACCAAATCATAACTTGATTATTTATTTACGTCCGTTTTTACGTTTCCAGAAGCATTTATATTTATTTCAGTCATGTTACTTTTAGCTACATTTGAATAAAGCTAATTGTGAGTAAGGATAATAAACAGTTTTACTTCTTTTATTACAAACGACAAAGCACATTATGAGGAATCGGTTCTCCAAAACCAATGAAAAATGTGCATTTTTTTCATGCTGATCAAAAGTGTCAATAGGCACAAATGTCAAGGCACTCATCTTCAAGAAATATCAAACCTTAAAGGTGTACTTTTTTGAAACTGGGAAATAAGCAATTGACGTAGAGTGGATGTCTAGAGTATACAGCATGTTTGCACTTGTTGGCGAGTCATAATAGCTCGGTATTAGCCTCCTTGACAATTAAGTCATGATTATCATGTATTATGTAGAGAGTAGTTTTATTCCCAGGCGTCAGAAATGTGCACATTCCAGGCTTGATAACTCTGGAAGTTGAGTCAAAATAGGAACATTTTCCATTGGTTTTGGAGAAGGTTTGACAAAACCCGTTCGCTGTAGGGAATATTTCTCATCCTCATTGATTGAATATAAACTATTTGGCGATATATAGATGTGTTTTCCGGGCACTATGACGATCTCAGATAATATGGGCACAGAAAACTTTCGAAGTTTCAGGAAGCGTTAATGCCGAAGATGCATCACTCCGATGTAGTCCGCTACTGACAGTGTCATGCGTCAGTTTGACATGCTAGCTAGCAGGAGGTTATTGCGTGATAAATTCGAGGTCAATTCGAGGATTTTAAAAGGATACTACAGTACTGTGCATGCATCGTTCGTCTGCATTATGAAGGCACGATATGATATACCCTGAAATTTCGCTACTTAACCTGCCTTACTATGGTTTTAATGACGCTGCAGTCAATTTGTCTAATAGAAATCAACAGGTCCTACTAGCTTCGAAAATTTCGGAATCAACTGCTATGAAGTGTTCCTCGAGGTTCCATATTGAGTCCTTTACTTTTCTCTCGGTATATAGGAGAGTTCCATCAGTATGCCTATAATTGTACAGGGTGGAAAACTAAGAATGCGAGGTACAGTATCGGGGAACCTATGAATCGTAGAGGCTTGCGGCAAAAACAGTTGCCACTAAAACGGCCAAGAGAAAAACCTGGAAAATAGGTTCAAGTTTCTGAAATGTCCCGTAACTGCAATTTTGAATCTGAAAAAGTGCTGTTTCTGAGAATTCCGCTATATTAAAATAACAAAAACATACCTGATCTTTAAATTCGAGAATAATCTGAACCTTTTTTGTTTTAAATTTTTTGCCGTATCTCTAAAAATAAAGTGTTGCGGTGATTCAAAGGTTTCCGTAAAAACCACCCTGTATCTTCGAAACGGATGAGCCGATTTTGAAAAACTTGTGCTAGTTGATAAGAGCTATTCTTGGGCTACAATTGTTATAATATTTGAAGTTTTGTTAGTCTCATATGTGGCCGCTAGAGGGTTTTTTCGACATTCCGACAAATGGTTAATTTTCTCAAAAAAGTTAAATGCATTGGTATGATAAGTTTTTTTATAAAAAGTAGCTAAATGATGTCTAAACAAGCTTGCGAAAACCGCATCTCGATATCTTGTTCCTAACCTAAAATTTAGGCCAAAGAAAATTTTAATTTTATATATCGGTTATGGGAAGCTCGGGTTCCTGAATAGTGGACGCACGAGGCGTTATACAGCATCGACCCATGGGATGAAGCGAACATTCTTGTGTTTCAGTAGCTTTTAAAATATGGCCTATTCAGATTCTTATGGTGAACGCGCTGTGCATTCTATAATTTGAACCGGTGTATTAAAAAAGAAAAACAAGGAAAAACCAAAACGATGGTCGTCACAATTATTTCTTAACAGAAGACAATTGAATAAAAATAGTACAAGTTTGTTAAAAGATCTCTTGGCCGATGAAACGGGCGGGTTTTTCAAAAAAAAATACCAGGATGCCTCAATAAGATTTCTCTTTGTTATTAAATTGTATCAAACCATGAATAGAACGACAAGACACATCCTACAGAAAAGCTGTTCCAGCTGAAGAAAGTCTAGCATTGAATTCTCGGTTTCTTGGATACAGGAGAAATAGCTCAAAACAAACAGGTCACCTAAAAATTGCTGATTTTTATTAACAAACCTTTTCCTGTCCCAGTTCCTTTTTTATTCTCTCAGCGGAAAGAGCCTTTCAGACTACCCATTTTCTTTTTAATTTCATGAACTTCCATATCTAGAATCTCAGCCTGTTCTTGTCAAGCATCTTCCTTTTTAATTGTATTGTAAAACAACGGGTGTCTTTGTTTCCATAATATTTGATATTCTTCAGTGAGCCTTAGCACTAAATTCTGAGACCATTCCATTATTATTAAACATAAGCAATAAAAAATGGTCTTTGATAACAATAATCTTTTTCCGTGCACTACTAGTTACTATAGAGTAGTCCGCCTCGACATGAAATGTTTACTTCCGTCCAGACTGAGCATGCACCGAGCATGTGCCTAACTTTGACGTCGCGAAGAAACGGAGCGGGTCGAGCCCGAATGCATACGAATTCGTACGCCTCGTTCAGACGTACACATAGATATATGCTCATGTGCCCCCGAGCTGCGAAAAGAGCACGAATGTGAACAACCCTTTAGTAAGTTATAGAAATATACAACTCAATTCCAAAAGGATGTGCATAATATCTTGATACTCGAAAAAATATAATAAACACGGAAGGGCATGATATTTTTATTCTGATTCTAAGAAAAATTGATTTGCAATAAACAGTAATCCATAAATGATTGCTGATATTGAGATGCAAAGGTAAAAGTTAGAACCGCAAAAAAATTGAAAAAGCACTTGCATCAGTTGATCATCGATCTATCTTTCTCACTTTCCAGGTTTTCTGAAAAAAAGATTTGTTCAATTTGGGGAATCCAAGCAAAAAAAAAATGTTGCTCAAGGTCCAGCTGGTATCGGAGAACAATAAGTTTTTTATGTCATCTGTACAGTTTTCACTGTTACTTTTGTTATTAACACTAGTTGATGTCGAACTTCAACCAAAGGACCATGGCAGATGGAGTGGAAATTCATATTTCTTATGCAAAATGGTATTTGAATATCGATTTTTTATTTCCACATCTTCTGAACCCATGATACTATAACTCGAGAAGATGTTCTCACTTCGCTATCAAATTTCGCACGCCTTTGCGCATGACGTCACTCAGTGACAAATGTTTCGCTTGTCGGTACGAAATGCATTGTGTTGCAGAGATTTCTTTTCAACATTTGGAATTTTTGCTCAACGTTTTTTGTATACAGTGCTTTTCTTTAATGTCCCCCTCCCCTTTGATTTTTTGAACGGATCAATTCAAAAAATTAAAACTTGAGGTAATGAAATTGATGCATGGATACCATATTCTAGAGTAAAATTGACAGATGAAAATGTCAAGATGGCCGCTGGGCGCCATCTTGGAAAAAAAATTATATGAAAACGGGGGTATTGTCAACATTTTGAAGCTCCTGACGAGTACTTTATAACCCTAGAATATAAAGTCAATACCTTTACCTACTACAAAATGATGGTACATTTAATAATTAGTTGAACATAAACCCACTAACATGCACATCTCTACAAATTATTGTAATTCCATGACGTATCCACAGCAACAGCGATAAAAACTTGTTTTGTTATTTTTTATTGACTGACAAGAATATCAGTACGAAAACAAACATCATTGTACAGTTAAAATATTCTTATTTAGTTTTCGGTTTTAGTGCTAGATAATGTTTGAACTATTTTTAAAATGGTCAATTCGCGTCAATTGGAAGAAAAAATTGAAAAGATTTGTATTTATGGTGCGACGCGTAACTTTCACGAGACCAAAAGGATTTTTAATGATCGTTTCCCGAATCGTCCTAACTGTAGAAAATATTTAAGGGAACTTGTATATAAATTTACAGCTGCTGGTAGTGTAAACAACAAAAAGCCCCCAGGTCATCCGACCATCCCGGAAGAAAAGCAAGTTCAAATAATTGGTGAGAAAATAATAAATCCCAACAGTCTGCTTCCTTCATCGCGAATGTATGTGAGGTTTGTCCTTCTACTGTAGTGAGACTTTTGAAAAAGAATCGAAGAACAGAATTCTGCGAGACTATGACGGAAACCATTGCACGGCATCCTATCCATATCCAAAATATTTGTTTTAGTGATGAATGTAAATTTTTTCTCAACGGTTAATGTGCATAGACAAAATTATCGTTATTGGAGTGACACCAATCCTCACGTCTTCCGGGAAACTCAATATCCACAAAAAATTAACGGAAATCATATTGTGGGGCGTCTATTCATCGAACAAATTTTAACCGGGGAACTGACCCTCTAATCACCGAAATCGTCGAAGCGAATCCTAATGAATTCGATACTGATATTGTACTCCAGCAAGATGGTGCTCCACCACACTACTCCAGACAGGTTAGGAATTATTTAGATAACAATTTCCCCGGTCGTTGGATTGGCCGTCGAGATCCTGTGGAATGGCCAGCTCGCTCGCCAGATTTGACACATTTAGACTTTGTTTTATGGGGCTATTTGAAGCAAAGGAGTACGAAACTTGACCTGCTTCAATATTGGATATACGGCTGAGAATAACAAATACTTGTAGAAATATCAATGTGACTATTTTTGAAAATGTTCGACCCGAAATTACGGACCGGCTGTTATTGTGTCAAGAAGTTCAAGGCAACCATTTCCAGCATCTTCTAAACTGAACTCAACGTATTTATTCGAACTATCAAGTTAAATGTCAATGTATTCAGGTAATTATTAAATGTACTACCATTTTGTAGTAGTTGAAGGTATGGACTTTATATTCTAGGGTTATAAAGTACTCGTCAGGAGCTTCAAGACCACCGTTTTCATATAATATTTTTTCCAAGATGGCGCCCAGAGGCCATCTTGACATTTTCATCTGACAATTTTACTCTAAAATATGGTACCTATCTACGCATCAATTTCATTACCTCAAGTTTTAATTTTTTGAATTGGTCCGTTCAAAAAATCAAAGGGGAGGGGGACATTGAAGAAAAGCACTGTATGTA